CGGGACGTGTGAGGCTCGTGCCAGCGCGGGAGGGGGATGCTGGCTGCCCCTGTGGTGCTGATGGAGGGGAGCTCGGCGGGGACTCTGTCCCCAGCTGCCCACGGTGCTGCGGTGTGGTCCCTGTGCCCGGTGCACGCTCTGGGGCTGGGTTTGGCAGCGCACCCACAGCACACGTGGTGGGGTGGGTCAAGCAGGACCACGGCTCACACACAGCGCTCCAGCTGGGCTGGGATTTGCTGGCATGCCACTGGCAGCCATGTTTCACCCTGGCAGCATGTGCTGCCAGGCAGGCCGGGTGGCTCTGCATCACTCCGGGTGCTCGCTCTCAGGCATGATGGCACCATGACCTTGGCCGCCCACCACGCGGGGTGGAGCGTGGTCCAGCCTCCTCCCCAGCCGCTCACTCGGGACCAATAAAGGTTGGGGGTGCCACAGGTGGACAGGGTGCTGGCAGCCTCACACCGCCACACACCGCTGGTCCCACTGCTGCGGTGGCTGCTCAGCCCAGACCCTGCAGAGTAAAGGCAGGTGTGAACTCATGGCGGCCACACTGAGCCCCCCAGGGACTCCCCTCCTGAGCACTGTCCCCCTCTGCCCTGCCCCTGGCTCTGCCCCATGCCGTGCCTGCCCTGGCTGGGGGGTGACACAAGCTGTCTTCTCCTTCTAGCTCCGAAAGTCCACCCGGGAGGGAGAGCCCTCCAGCCCAAAGCGGGTGAGTCCGGGAAGGGTGGGGAGGGGGGAAAAGGGGGGTGCAATGCAGACCCCCACGCTGGGCAGCTTGGGAGAAGAGTGGATGAAAGCCCCAGGGTGTGATGAGCCCAATGGGATGGGATGCCAAGCACTTGGGATGCCAGATTCACCCTTCTGGAATCACCAACGTGCCAGGTGTGAAGCCTTGGAGTGATAAATGCTGCGGGGAGCATGGGAGCTGCCAGGGAGAGCAGCTGGGGAGCCAGGCATGGACCCCACCTATGAGAGGTGCCCACCTAGCTCCCTTGCTCCATCTCACGCAGGATGAGGATGTCTGGAGGCCAACGGAGAAATGGTGCAACCAGCTCTTCTGCAACGTGGTGCCCATGCTGCTTGGGGATGAGGAAGAGGAGCCGGGGGGTAGGCAGCACTTCGACTTGGACACCTTCCTCTCAGACATCTCTGACACCCTCTTCACCATGACACAGACACCCAGCACCCACCAGGCACTCCCCGAGGATGGTAGGTACCCCAGGAGGAGGGGATGCTCCTGCCCTGCCCAAATGGAGCTCTTGTTTGGGCAGGGCGGGAGCATCCCCTCCTCCGGTGGCTCCCTATGGACCAGCCTGGGCTGTCCCAGTTGGGATGGGCTGAGCCGCCCAGGGAGCACTCGCCCCATGAAGGACCTTGCACCAGACCCCAGGGCAGGGCTGCCAGCCCTGGGTAAGCAGCGGGCAGGTCCTGCCTTCCATGGCCACTCTTTGCTGTCCCTGCCTGCCCAGGTCCCTGGAGCTCCTGCAGCACCAGGCAGGTCTTGTGCCAAGGATCAGCCCTCCCCTGGGGTTCTTGGGCACTGGATGAGGTCCCAGAGGTGCTGGTGGGCAGGGTGGTGGGGACAGGATGGCCCTGGGTCTCCACAGGGTGGGCACCCATCTCTCTGCCTGTGCACGGCTGCAGGGCAGGGTGCAGCGATGCAGGGTGACTCTGGGGTGCCACGGAGGGCACTGGTGGAAGAAGCCCTGAAGGGGGGTCTTGGGGGTGCAGTGGCTGGGCCCCGATGTTGCAGCTCTGCCCTCTTCCAGCGTATGTTGGGAATGCTGACATGATACAGCCGGACTTGGCACCCCTGCAGCCCAGCCTGGATGAGATGGAGATCTCAGGTAAGAGCCAGCCTGGCTGCGGTACTATATCCCACACGGCCCAGCACGCTCTGCACGCCATGGCAGCCCAGAATGGGGGGGTCAGAGGGTTGGCCAGGCAGCAGTGGGAGCTGCTGGGGCAGCCAGAAAGCACTGGACATCCACCAGCATGGAAAAAGCAGCCTGCATGGGCCAGGGGGCTGCGGCAGGCTGTGGGGCAGGGGCTTGGCATGCCTGCCTGTGCCCGGGGCAGAGCCACGGCAGGTCGGGAAGGGCCTGGCCGGGAGCTGTGGGAGGGCAGTTCTACAGAGCGTCTTTCCAGAGTGCCAAACCACCTCGTTTTGGCTGCAGACAGAGGAAGGACAATTGTCCCCCCAAAAGAAAGAGGAAAGCTCTAGAGAGCAAGCTCTGTGCTGCTGTGTCCCCCTCCTCACCCCACTCCCCCTCCAGCCCCAGGCTGAGCAGCCAGACTGGCCCAGAGACAAACCTGGCACTGGTGTCCAGCTGGGGCAAAGGGCTGCCGAGGAGAACGCTGGGAAGTGGGCAATGGCAGCCTCCTCCCGTGGGGCTGCCACCAGCGCTGCCATGCAGCCTCTGAGCCGTGAGTGCCTGTCAGCGCCGTGGAGTCAGCCGGGACATGTCCTGGTCCCAGCTGTGCAGTGCAGGGTCCCCGTATGCCAGGGCAAGGCACCGCTGGTGCACGCTGCACCGGTGACCAGCTCTGCCCTCGAACGTGCTGGAGCCAGTGGCCTGGGCACACTTTGCAGGGTGGGAGCTGGTGTGGGTTGGTGGCTGCAGCCCTCCCAGGTAGCCGGTGGCCTCGGGCAGCACCAGCATCTCTAGACCCCTCCGTGCATCTGTGAGCACCCTGCGAGCTCCACTGCTGGTCTCCACTTCCTTCGGCGGGAGGAAACAAGGGTGCTTGCGCCATACAGCTGCGGGGTGATGCAAGACCAGATGCTGGCGGGGAGCAGGCTGGGGCACTCTGATGTGCAGCGGGATGCCCTGGGGATGGGTGGGGTGGGAAGGCTCTTGCCAGCCCTCCTCCTCCGCTCATTCCCTCCAGAGGTCCCATCAGGGTGAGCCGTGCTGGGAAGAGGGTCTGCCCCGCTGCTGGCCCTTTGCCTCCTGTCCCCAAGTGCCCCATGTGGGCATCAGTCGCTGGGAGGTGGGACAGCTCCAAAGGGGTCAAACTGACACTTGACAAGTGTCCCTTCCCCCGAGATGTCCTGCATGGTGCTGGAAAGCTGCACCAACCCCTTTCAAGCAGCACCTCGCCACAACGGTGTCACAGCAGCAGCCCCGGCACCTCTCTTTGTGTGCCCAGCTGCTGTCTGTGCCACCGGCATGGTACAGCCTCGTGCTCAGCAGGAGACGGCAAGGGGCATGGCGGTGCCCAGCTGAACCAAGATATTTCTATGAGCAGCCAAGTTGTCTTTTTTTTCCCTGGGAAAAAGGCCTGCATTTTGCTCCAGGGTGCTGCCTGGGAATGGGATGAGTCTTACTGCAAGCCACTACATGGCAGGAAAACATCCCTTCCTGTTCTGCCCATACCCAGCGGCTCCGCGTGGGGGGACTCCTGGGGCTGGGGAGGGTCCCAAGCCCAGCTGGGGTCAGGGATGGTGTCCCAGGTAGGGCTTGTTGTCTGCCTAGGCACAGGCTGCTGAGCATGGCTGGAGAGAAGTTTGTGAGCCCCGGGGCAGGGCAGCACCCTGCGGGGTGCCCAGAGACTCGTGGGTGGAAGGTTTGTCCCAGACATGGCATTCTTGGGATGCTGCGCGGAGCAGCTCGCCCCGACGACGAGAGGTTGCAGTCCTGTGCCAGGCGAGCGCTGCGTGTGACGATGTGCGTGCTGGCGGAACGCGGGCGTGCGCGGGGAGGTGAGGGTGTGCGGGGCAGAGGTGTAGGAGCAGAGAGGTGTGCGCACACCTTGCGACAGGCAGCGCCACGGGGCCGTGGGAGGTAGTGGGGAGAGGTGATGGCGGGTGAATGCTGGGTGTTGGGTGCCAGAGCTGCGGGTGCCAGCCAACCCAATTATGTCCCCAAGGCCACTTTTCTAGCAGGGTGTGCGATGGCTTTTTGTGCCTTGGGAGCAGGGATCCCCCCAGCAGCCTCGTGCAGAGCACTGCAGTGCAAGCGTGCGGGGTGGGCACCGCAACGGTCGGCGCAGGGTCACAGGGCTGTCACCACGTCTGGTGGCTGTGGCAGAGCTCGGCGCCTGTCAGTCAGTGTGCACAAACCAATCCCCAAATGAGGAAGCACCTCGTGTCCACGGTGGGTGCCGGAGCGCAGTGTGGGGTGGATGAAGTCCTGATGGCAGAGGCGAGGGAGCAGCCCGGCCCCGTACCCTGCTGGCACCGCGCTCCAGGTAGGACCCACGCCAGGCACTGGGGAGCTGGGGGCTGGGCTGGCCATCCCATGGGGTGACATCGCCCCGCTGTGCGGCAGGGCTCTTGCAGAGCCTGGGGCCAATGCTGGAGGGTCCTTAGTTTGGGAATGGGCTCTGTAGCCCCGATCCCATTGGAAAGCAGCCCCAGGTTTGAACGGGATGCCAAAGGTGTGGTGTGCTGACCGCACGGGCTCTTCTCCCTTGAGCAGCGACGTGCCCTGGCCACGCTGCGTGGCCTGGGAGCAGGTCAGGGTGATGCAACAGTGGAGAGGAGCATAGGCAAGAGCCGTGGGGTGGGGAAGGGGCAGGAGAAAGGGAGGACAGGGTGCCCAGGGGCTGCCAGCCACCTTCCATCCCTGCAGCACAGTGAGAGCCACAAGAGGAATCGAATCTGCAGAGCTGGGCACCATAAATTCCTATAAATACCCGCAGAGCTTCAGTGCTGGTGGCAGGGGACAGCCTGGTGTGGGCACAGCGGAGGGCTGGGGGCAGCAGGAGCTGGGTGCTGCGCCCTGGGGAGGCTCAGACCCTGCCTGGCAGCACCGCAGCCCACAGCGAGTGCTGGCCCATGGAGGGGCAAGGGTGGCCCTGCCACAGCCCCGGGCATTCACCGTGTCCTTGGCAGGGGGAAGGGGCAGTCTGAGAGCTGAGTGGGGCAGCTCAGCGGCAGCACTGCCCCATCTCACACCGGTGTTACCCTCGGCTGGCAGCACATGGCACTGCCGGAATCGGCACCATGCTCAGCCCCATGGCATCCCACTCTGCTGGCACGTTTGCTCCTCTGGTGTAGATTCAAAAGGGTCTCAGGCCTTTGCGTGTCCCAGCCAGGGTGCTCCAGGCGCTGGAGCCTGTGCCACAGCCTGGAGGGAGCGCGGAGTCCTTGCAGCCCTGCCGGCGCCTGTGGCACGGCTGCACACGCCGGGCAGGCAGAGCCAGTGTGTGGGCTTGGCTGGGCTCTGCCAGCAGCAGCACGGGGCCCGGTGGCAGCGATGCTCAGGCCAGGCAAGGCGTTGGGAGCATGGCTGGGTGCTTTCCGAGGGGGTGCGAGTGCCTGTGTCCCGGGGTGGCTGCTCAGGCACAGAGCCTGTGCCAGGGGCTGTCGATCAGCTGCCTGCAAACCCCGCCAGCACTCCTGCTCCATCCTACGGGGAAGCATCCAGCTGCCCCATCCCTGCCCCGCATTCATCCTGTACAGGGAAAACCCTCCCAGTGGCAATGCCCCAGTCAGCACTGGCACAGGCAATGGCAGCGCCGGCACCGAGCCGAGGCGTGCGTAGGGCTGATGCGCCCGGGGAGCTCGTTCCACAGGGGAGGTGGCTGCCCGAAGTGTCAGCCCAGCCCTTTGCACCGCAGTGTCTGGGCCTGCGGAAGGAGCAGGGTTGTGGGAAGGGGAGAGGAAGCGAGAGGGAGTCGTGGCAAGGTCACGGGGCTCGGCTTCGGGAAGGCCATGGGATGTGGTTAGCCACAGGCTGCATGCACGGCAGCGCCGGGGCGGGGAAATGAGCACTCGCCACAACCCCAGGGGACCGTCCCCCCCAGCTTGGGGACCCGCTCCTCCGAGCCCCCCGCTGTGGCTGCCCTGCAGCCTGGGTGTCGTGGTCCCTGCCCCAGCCCTGGGCTGGTTCAGGAGGAGTGGTACAGCCACTCACCCTGCGGGGAGCGGCCCTGGCGCTGGAGCACGTGGCGCCCAGCTGGGTGTTGGGGATGGGGACGGGGTCCCCACCCTTGGGTGGCACCCCTGGGCGGGTTTTCCTGTCCCCATGCGTGTGACAAGGCTGGCCCTGGGCGCGTGAGCTGCCTCTTCCCTCCATACTCCAGCATTTCACAACCTGAGTGCCAAATCCACCGGCAGAGCTGGGAGCTGCCCTGGCCCCACAAGGTGATGGTGGGACTGGCAAGTCCCCGCCAGTGCCAGTAATGGGGTACGGCTACCCCTTGCATGCCCCAGGGCTTGTCACCGCCCCCCTCTGGGAAGGTCCCCTTATGCCTGTCACTGTCTCCACTTGGCCCTGCAGATATCTTCACTGGCCACCGGCCACCGCCATCGCAGATGCAACCAGGCTACCAGGAGCCGCCCTGCTTTGTGCCCATGGCCGAGTCCCTGTTCGGTGGCGGGGAGTCCCTGATGGGTGCACGGGGGCTGCCCGCCAGCCCTGAGGCCCCGCTCCCACCCGGCACCCTCCTCCAGGTGAGCGGGACCCCAGCCCGCGTCCCGCGGCTGCCGG